TGGTTTCTTTTATTAGAATCTACATGAAATTTTAAAATAGAAATACAAACTGCAGAATCTAACATATTGCGTGTATTGAAGTGTAAACCTTCTACAGTACTCTTCCTGATTCAACATTTCTTTAAACAGCTTCGTGCCAAGTATTCGTTCTCATTCCATAAACTTTTTTTGAAGCAGTACAATGGAATCTAAACAAAACAAATAACAGGTGTAACGAAGGTGAAAACGTCAAACTGTAAGACTTAAAATTACCGAATTCCAACTGAATTCATCCATCGAAATCTTTCATTTTTTTCCAGATTTTTCAATTCTCGAAGTAGCAAAAGGCTTAAGCTTTAAAATGACCTTTAAAATAGGCTTTAAATAATCGTATCAGCTCCAACCGCTTCTAATTGCATCGAAAACCAGATGAAAATCTAACAAAAAACCGATTTTTAAGTTCTTGAAAATTTGGGTATACTACAGAAAGAATTTTTGGAGTGAGATTGAAAACTAGGAAGAGAATGCTTTATGGTAGTTGATTCTCTTTTATTACAATGTTTATTGTAGGATTTTCTCAACAATTTGCAAGCTACAACTATACATTTAACTCCACTGGTTCACTCGACTCACTCGACTTTTCTTCAATGATTCGTTTCTTCTTGAGGTCTTCTATTAATTAGCTTTGCCTTTTTGAGTCAGCTTTTTTGAAAAGAAACGTCTTTCACTTCAATCTTTTCTATGTCACGTCTATCTTCGGTGAAATCACAGACTTGAAGAATTTGATTTCTAGGTGAGTATATGTTCTCACACTTTTACATTTTCTTTTGCCTTTTTACTTTTTGAGATGGAGAAAATGACGTAACTGGCAATAAATAATTGAAATCTCATTGATATTAACGCCCTAGTTATACATGTCATATTCTATTTTCAAATTATGATATCACAAAATTTAAACACTGGTGAATATGATAGCCTCATGTAGCTTTGTTGTTTCTTAATCCAATTATAGTAATTTGTTCAATTTCCTTCAAAACATCTCATCGAACGTTTCTGACCACTATATTATTGGTCTTTTGCTGATCTAGTCTATATTATGAATTTTTGCGTGCCAATTTATAGAATTTGAATTGCTCAATTCAAGTAGTGAATCTTGAAAGAGCTTTGTTCCTATCTCCCTATCTATCAATATCTCAACAAACTTGGGTCCCTATCGCCACAATGTTGGTTCCCTATCTCCAACAAATTTGGTTCCCTATCTGGGCAAACAATATAATTAAGCTTTCTTGCAAAATCTTCAACAGAAAATTGATTCACTCAATCAAAACAAATCCGAATGCAGAAATTCGAATATTTTCCGCAAAGGAGTTTCTCTATATGAAAGCAAAGAAGGAGTTCCTGCAATAAATCGGTGATTTCACTGCCCGTTGCCTAAAGGTCGAGGGAATGGAAGAGATGCTTCAGGCTTAGGCTATATTCTCCCATTCCTTTACCCGTTCCTTTACCCATTTTCTTTCTTTCCCTATTCTCCTTTCTCTTTTCCATAAATAGAAAGTTCTTCTCTTTTCACTCAAAACCACTTTAATGACCATTTTTGATGACTGGGAAAACCTTTATAAGAACAACAATCTGATCAAACAATGATCTGATTAAACAATGATCTGATTAAACAAGTCGATCTGATTAAGCTTCAAACTTTTTCGTTTAATTCTCTTTTATCTTTATATCTTGATTCCTTTTTCTTTAGACCTGAAACAGGAAATTACTTGAGAAATCCACTTGAACTTTATTTAAGAGAACCCTCTTGAAAAAAGACCTAGAATGCTGAGATTGCAAATCTTCTATTAAAATGTTCTAGCCCAGGCACACCAAACTATTTATCATTTACCAACTAGCAATTTTGCTAAATAGATTATCAGTTTAGCAGTTTAGCATTTACAAATGTTGCAAAATCAATTTAACAATTAGCATTTAGCATCCCTAAATACTCAAATGCTAAATAGCAAAAAATTTTGCTAAATTCAGCAAAATTAAGTTCTATGTTGCAGTCTGAATCCTCTGATGCCACCAAATAAAGCTAACATAAGTTTATGTGCTCAAAATTGGCTAAATTTTGGCTTCTTTTGTAACCAGAGTATGTCAGAGTTTGAATCTGTAAGTAGCCTTTTTGGTTTCTTTGTTCAAAGCAGAGCTGTAAGTGTTTTTCGGAGCTAGCGGCACTGCTAAAAACTGGTGATGCTAAATTGCTAAAAATGCTAAATTTAGCAAAACTTTGTTAAATTCAAACTTGCTAAATGCGTTGGTGGACTTGTTGAAGTTTGCAAAATGGAAGTTTGCTAAATTTAACAGTTGCTGGACCCGTCCTAGATCCTAGATTGGAGTCCTAGATTTTAGAGTGGCCAGGGCACAAGGTTGATCCTGGACATTTACGGACAAAACCTAAAGTTGTTAGCCCAAGTTCTTTTTCTTTACCTAAACCCTAAAACAGACCAAACAAAACCTTGACTAGCCTTATTTTTTACTAAAAAAAAATCTTCTCAAACTACTTTATAGTAGACTTCGGAAAACAAAACTTAGCCAAAACCACCAAAACCAAAACCAAAACAAAACTAACCAAAACTCGCCAGTATCTCGCGACTGGGAGGAGCTAGCGAAAATCTGTTTGCAGATTTGAAATCAGCATCCAAAAATCTAACCCCTAGGCTATTTTTTGTTCCGAAATTTCGATGTCGTGTTTGGTCCTTTTTTCGGCCGCGAGATTTTTGTGGAGTGGACAAAGTGAAAGGGGCAAATTTGCATTTTCACAATTTTAAATTTACATTTTTACAATTTTAAATTTACATGTTAATTTATATGCAAATTGAGTTTTGGTTTGGTTTTGGTTTTGGTTTTGGTCTGATTTGGTTTTGGTTTCATTGCCGAACTCTACTTTATAGCATTTTGGACACCGCCTTGAAAATAAAAATTCAAATTCTCATGAATTTTTCCCACGTTTTTCTTTCAGAATCCCTCGGTGATTCTGAAAGAAATAATCATGCAAAACGTTAGTCATTTTCTCAAGTTTTCCTTTTTACCACTTCAGTTTCAATTAAAAATTCAAGTATTTTTCAGCAAATTTTCAGCAAAATGATGCCATTGAGACGGGTGGCAAGTTGGGTCAGCATCTTGCTACTCGTTCTGTTCACTGCTTTGGTTCACTCACAAGCTTAATGAGTTTATGAGAAAACGATCAAAATAAGAACAGAATTCGAATCATTGAATAATTGAGAATGTTTAGTGGTCCGTACACAAACTATGGTCGATACTCGTCATCATATTATCCGCACTATCGACGTGGACCTTCTCCTTACGGCGTTGGGGGCGGGAATTATGGAGCCGGAGATTACTACACTTCTGCACAAACACAGGAATTACCATAGAAAGTGAGTTGAGAAAGAAGCAAAATCAACCTAACCAAATATTCATTCGGTGAAGATTAAATCTAGCTTTCATATGATAAGTCTCAGTCTCTTATCATAGTACTGAGTTAAACTTGGAAGATCGAAAATATTAGGCTGGTGAATTGAAAACTGGGGGACTTTGAACTACAATTTATTCAACATAAAACCATCAATTCATTCCAAATAATTTCCATTATTATTGACGACTTCTGCTCATTTTACAGGCAATTTGCGGATTCCTCTTTCGTAGTAGGATTTTGGTTTGTGTGTGAGACAAGTGTGAGACTCAAAAATGGAGGACTGGAGATGTCCCAGTTTGAGCACTTTCTTCAAAAGAAACCCACTTTGGTGTCAATAGAAAAGTTGTAGAGAATCAAGAAATTAGGCTTATAGCCAAATTTTCAAAAAAAGATACACTGAATGTAGTTTCGCTTAAAATGCAAGTTTTGTGAAAGTTCAATAAATATTGCATTCTTGAAACCAGTTTTGAATCGTTCTGAAAATTTGGATATAAGCTTGTTTTTGATTCCTCTACAACTTTTCCATTGATACCAAATGGGATTCTTTAAAGAAAGTGCTCAAACTGTCAATGCTGTTAATAGCCCCCGGCTTTCAATTCACCAACCCAATAGATTGAGATTAGCCTTGATTTGAGGAGAAGTCAATGTCCAATTTAAGGATTCGGTGCCGCCAGTTTAGTTTGGCAAAGATAGAGGAAGAAGCTTATGTAAAACCCTGCGCCAGACGACGAGCGATTACGCGACCGCACATAGAACACACAGAACACACACAAATTTAAAGCGAAACTACTAGTGTATCTTTTGGAAATTTGGATATAAAAGCTTGGATTTTTGATTCTCTACAACTTTCCATTGACACCAAAATGGGTTTCTTTTGAAGAAAGTGCTCAAACTGTCACATATGATAATAGCTCGCAGTTTTCAATTGAACCAACCCAATACTTTTTCTTTAAGCCTTTAATACTTTAACACTACTTACTCGCCTTTATCATTGTATCATATATTATCAAATATTTGATCTTAATCATATTTTTATAAAAATTTTGGTCACTTTTAAGCATTTCATTAATTTTAGCCCTCAAGCCGCCAGTGATGTTAATGTACGAGGAGAAGCTTGTCAAGGACAAGGGTACATGTTAGGGTAAAAAGTTAATTTAACAAAAAAGAAATCACAATCTTTATACAATATCATTCATTGATAGTCCTCTTGATCGTTCTTGTCTTACGAATCATTCGAAATCATTCTGTACATATTTTCCCTCTTTCTCCCATTTATTCATTGATTTTCTATTTGAAGAATTACATCTAAAAAGCTGAAGCTAAAAGCTTTACAATAATTTTATTGTCAATAAATATTTATTGTTATTGCAATCATCAATAAATCAATCAATCAATCAATAAATTAAAACATTTGAAGTGAATGCTGAAATGACACACTGTGATCCTGCTGGCGGAGGAGTTTCGCGTCGATTCAGATTCGCATATTGACTTTTATTATCATTATTTAGCACTATTCATATCAAATTCATTATCGACATTTTGTCTACATTTTCCTCACTCACTTGTAAATAAGTTGCTGATACTTCTCCCAGGGCATCACCGTCAACGATCCCGTTCTCGGCGCGTTCTCCAACTTATGACTCACCTCTTTAGACTAAAAATTGTTTTTTTTTTGAATGTTTGCATTGTTAACTATGAGAATATGTGATCTCTAAAACAAACACAATAAGCGACGACACTGATTCCATCGATTTCGACAATCGCCTGATTGAGCGTGAGTCCATTCTTTGAAGCCGACGAGTTCGGGGCAACGGCGGTGATCTTGTGTCTTTGTGCGTGAGCCAGTTTTTCCGTTTTCATCTTTGTGCAAAGTGATGCTCGACACGAAGGTCTAAAAGGATTACGGTAGTTTAAATAAATATTAGAAAATTTCTGTAGACTTAAGAAAGATCTGATGGTGAGAACTCGCCTATCTCGAACGGCCACCAAATGCCTCCATTGGTGGAATCTTTTCGATCAACTGCATCGCCTAAACGGATTGTTATTGCATTGGGATTGCATTGGGATTGCATTGGGATTGCATTGAGATTGCATTGGGATTGCATTGGGATTGCATTGGGATTGCATTGAGATTGCATTGGGATTGCATTGGGATTGCATTGTGATTGCATTGTCATTGTCAGCCATTGCATTGTCATTATCAAAGCCATTGCATTGTCATTGTCAAAAGCCATTTAAAACTCTCAAACCTTCGAATTTCCCATTCAAAAACCTCCTTGCCATTGAGTTTGCAGATTTGATCGCCAGATCAGGTCATGATGAGCGGCTGGGGACTCTTTCATCACGAATTGCGAGAGACCCTGGAATTGAAGTTTAACTCCTAAGTTTCTAATAATTAAAAAGAATTCCTGCCAGTTGCCCACTTTCAAACTCCCCCGATCGATCTCTGTCCATCGTCCCCCCATCTTTCCCCCTCGTTTGTTTTCGGGATGAAAAAGATTTCGCACGCCATGGTGGAGATTTGCCTAATTTGCCAGATTTGAAGTATTTTTATGTTTTGATACCTGCTCAAATCCAGGAGCCAACGAGGTGATCAGCGCGACTAATGAGCTGACCCAGGAGAAGGCAGGGGAGTTGACTCCTAAGAAATTTAGGTAAAAACTCACCCTTTTCTTGTAGGATTTTACAATTGCCTTCTAACAGTCTAGCAATTTTTTTTATTTACCTGAGCACCTAACACCGAGTGTCGCTCATCGTACGAGAGATTTGATGATGCAGGAGAGGGAGTGCTTGCGGATAAATTGGCTCTAAAACTTGTACACATTGGGCATTAAACAAAATTATTTAAATGCTTTGTTTAGACTTACAAAATGACACTAGGAACAGTGGTATTTCCTTGAAGATTTCCTTTATAAACCTTAAGCTTGAAGTTGATTTGATCGCCGATTTGTGGATAGAATTCGGATAGAATGAATGAAGAACGGTTTCAGCCTGTGATGCCATTGTGAGAGTTCCAAAGGGAGCAGCCGGCACCTCGGCTCCACAATTGCATGAGGCAAAGTGGCAAATGGAGCCGTGGGGAGAGGACGGTTGGCCTGAATTGAACGACATACTGTATCCAGCTTCATATCGACTTGTATCGAAAACAGCTGTATCGATCCTTTTTGCCGTTGGCATTCTAAGGTTTTTCGTGTTTTTCTCAGCACCATCCCTTCATTTTGGCTATTTTAATCATCATTCGATTCGAATAGAATACCGCGTCGAATAATGCCAAAATGAACTCAAAATATAATATCCATGCAAAGTTGTTGGCTACAAAAGCCTAAACCGCGCTCATTATGGGCGAGACTTAACCTTTACCTCATAATTTTGCAAAGAATGTTATATTTTGAGTTAATTTAATTATCATTCGACGCGCAATCCCTCTTGTGCATCAAAGATAGGCAAAATACCGTATTCTCTCTGATAACCGTGCACCCTGAGGGTTGCTTAAATTGCTCGAAATCTCGAGAACCGCTTATCGGAACCTATCGATGTAGGGTCGGAAAATGTAGCAGCTGACGATGAGATCGTGGGGGATTTGAGTGTTGAGCTTTTGCGAAAAACTTAAGCTGTAAAATAGTCATCAACTCGGCTCACCGGGAAATATACCGTCTTCTCTCTAATAGTAGTGTATCCAAAGCTTCGCCTAAATTGCTCGAAATCTCGAGAACCGCTTATCCAGAACCTATCGGGGTCGGAAAATGTAGCTGACGATGAAGAGATCTTGTGGGGATTTGAGTGTTGAGCTTTTGCGAAAACTTAGAAAGCTGTAAAATAGTCATCAACTCGGTGCACTACTATTAGAGAGACTACGGTAGTCAACATCGAAGAGGTTGGTGCTGAGAAGACGAAAAACTTTTAAATTGCTAACGGCAAAAAAGGATCGACAGATGTTTTCTACTACAGACAGACTTCGGTGATGCTCTAGTAATTAAATGTTCTAGTAATTTGCTAATTATGGCTGAAACAACAAGCCCTGAAAATTGTACTAAGTACTGTTTCGAAAATTAGCAGAAATTCCTGCACTAATCTCCATATTCTGGTCAACAGCCTTATCCTCAAGTGACAGGTAGACCAGCATTTTGGTCTAAAAGCCAAAAAATAAATGGAAAATGGAAAATTGAAAAATCACATGAAAGCATCTAGATCAAAACAAATGATACGGAAGATCAAAGGTTTAACTGTTACGAAACCACTAGAGGTCATGAAGAAAGAGACTGCTGATTAAGCCAATTCCCAAATCAATCAAAGGTGTCTCTGTATGTCTCCATAAAGAGCAATGTTTATCGTTCACTTGGTGCCTTTTGGGACAAAAAAAGAAAAGAATAGAGCAAATATTGAAGTCTAATAGCTAGCATATGAAAAAAATTGTCATCTCGCGATTTGTTAGTAAATAATCATTCAAACTTTCAAGTAAAGGAAGAAATTTATTTTGTTATATGTTGTGTCGATTTAGATTTCCGTCCGATTTAGATTGGACTTATCGCGGACGTCCACTTTGAATTACAGTCTATATCCGGACGTCCGATTTAGATTCAATCTTAATCTTTTTTATGTTGTGTCCGATATAGACTGTAATCATCGGACGTCCGCGATAAGTTCAATCTAATCGGACGTCCGGTTTTAGATTGAATCATCGGACCAACATATATCCTTTATCCGACAAGGAAAAGTGACAATGCAAACAGATTGAACAGCAGCGTAGACGAGAAGAAAGACCATTGATACAAACACAACTCCAATTAGACCGTGTATATGACATTAAACTATTTAAATTGACAGGCTACAAGATCAGAGCTTTTTTATTGAGGATTTAAAATAGTTCAGAGACGAAAATATCACAAGGTAACTTATTCCAAATACGAGGAACACGACAAGCAAAGAATACAGTTAGCGGTTATGAAAGCTTTGAAGGGGTAATCTGAAAGTTGTGACTACGAGTTCTTCTGGCGTGATTCGAAATCTTAAGAAAGTCCTTTAAGTTCCGGATGAGTTAGGAGAAGATGATTTTATAGCATAAGACCAAATCAAAATAAATACGGCGATAGGATAAGGTTTAAGGTCAAAAAGAGCAAGTCGATCAGAATAGCAAGAATTTCTTTCGATGGGAAACAACGGGCATACGCCCTCCTACTGAAACGACGCTGAACGTTCTCAACCAAGAAATTAACTTTTAAGGCAGGAGACCAAACAAAAGTGGCGTACTCAGAACAAAGAGACGGCAGTAGGTAATGAACGCTTTACGATAAGTAGCAATTGAAGGAAAACAAACCAGCGTGAAGTATAAGGTTTGAGATGCCCAGCTTTTTGCCATTCCGGAAGTTATGCTGTATGTTATCTCGAGAATCTTCCTTTTTGATAATGTTAAGCCTAATTAAAGCTGTTTAAACTCAAGATAGTTTTGTAAGTGATTAAAGTTTTTTTCATTAGAAGAAATAATGATTTTTTAAAAAAAACTAGGGAAAAAGGAGGTGATTGTGCAAGAAAAACTGGGAAAGAGAGTGCCTGTGTGTCGCTGAAGCTTTTCTGAGCTTTTTTTTCCTTTTTGTGTGAAAGGCTTATCTTCTCATGATCTGTAAAACATAATCGGCATCACTTATCCACAAAATCAACGACAAATTCACTAACAAATCAAAATTTGGGAAAAATCAAAAAACGGGTATTTCAGTATAACGTATAGAAAGTGTAAACTGGCGTTCCCAAATACTTAAATTGGACATTGACTTCTCCTCAAATCAAGGCGGCTAATCTCAATCTATTAGTTGGTGAATTGAGAAAACTGGGGGCTATTGTCATATATGACAGTTTGAGCACTTTCTTCAAAAGAAACCCATTTTGGTGTCAATGGGAAAAGTTGTAGAGAATCAAAAATCAGGCTTATATCCAAATTTTCAGAACGATTCAAAAACTGGTTTTCAAGAAATGCCAAAATTACGAATTTTCACAAAACTTGCATTTTAAGCGGAAACTACTAAGTGTATCTTTTTTGGAAATGTTGGCTATAAGCCTAATTTTTGATTCTCACAACTTTTCTATTGACACCAAAATGGGTTTCTTTTGAAGAAAGTTGCTCAAACAGGGACATCTCCAGTCCTCCATTTTGAGTCTCACACTTGTCTCACACACAAACCAAAAATCCTACTACGAAAGAGGAATCCACAAAATTGCCTGTAAAATGGGCAGAAGTCGTCAATAATAATGGAAATTATTTCGAATGAATTGATGGTTTTATGTTGAATAAATTTTAGTTTAAAGTCCCGACAGTTTTCAATTCACCAACCCAATAAATAGTTTAAGAAAATAAAAAAAGCAATTAGTGAACTAAAAGTAATATTAAAGTATTAGAAAGATTCCAATCTATCAAATAAGTTCAAGAAACAAAATCAAAATCAAATCAAAAACGCGGTTTTGTGGAAGTAAATAAAGCTCACGAGTAAGTGAGAAATTTGAAAACAGTCCTCTTTTAGCAAATTTTTCCATTCATTCGCTTATCAAAAGATTGAGTTTTCCTCTCCATTTGACCATTTTTCCCTTTCTTTTCCCTGTTTTTCTTTTTCCTTTCATATAAGTCTGTTTTCTATTTGTGAAAAAATTCTTCACACCCTTTTCCCCTTTTTTCTTCCTTCAAGAAACAAAAAGATTTGAAATTTGTCATCGGAACAAATTCAAAAACGAAGAAAAATGATTGATCATTTTATTTCAAGGTTTCGAAGAAATTTATAAATTTTCCAAGTTTTCAGTCCAAAAAACTTATCTCAGCACTTGTTAGAACGTTAAAAAAACATTTCATTAGATAAAAGTGTGTCTTTTTGAGGGGCAAATATAGGCTAGGGGTAGGCTAGGGGTAGGCTAATTTCCGCAAATTTTAAAACGGCAGAGCCAAGCTCGATCCTTTAACGCTCCTTTCCCTTTATCCATTCCAAAAGGGAAGCAGCTTACCGAGGGTTTTGTCAGATGGCGAGCGATTGTGCGCGCGCACAAAGAACATTTCGCCGTGACTTCATACAGTGATTTTGCTTTGACTTTGAGAATGGCTTTTGATTTCAATAAAAGCAAATTACATTAATTTAGACCGATATGCACGATGTAGGAATTTTTAATTTCGACAACAGGGTCTCTTGCGCAACTTGCCATAACTTAAGCTAAGTCGACCAATCTTTTATGATTTTGATTTCATTTTGTTGCACTTATTGAGATCTACAGAATGAAATCGAAATCATAAAATTAATACTAGAAAGAATTTATCGGACAGTTGCATGCTGTTTCAATTGCGCAAATAACCCTGTGCGCAAAAAAAATTGCGGAAATAGCCTACCCCCAAATATATTTGTTTTTTAAAACTAAAGCACAAAATATTAAATCACTTTTTAGATGCATTTCTTTTCGTGATAACAATTTCGAAAAACAAGCTATCCATAGTTGGGAGAATATGAATACTCAATCTCTCGATACAGCACTTTATGAACTTCGTGGGCTTTTGGACGAGATTTCGCCTCAAACTTCCAACACCAGCACATGACTTTCCATCTGAAAATCAAGTTTTAGACAATTACTTTACATGGTTTTAAATTTGCAAGTTGGCTATAATTATAAATTGCATAAAATTATATTCTCTCTGATGTTTACAATTTTAGAATTCTCTCTGATGCCTCTGCAGGTCGTTCCATCGTCGTCCTTCTCGCAAATGATAAAATCTCTTCTGGTTGCATCGAGTGATACGGCTGGTGACCCAGGAAAACATCTCGAAGAAAAACCCCGAAACTCCAACTAAATTTCGTTTAAAGATTAAAATTAAGCTTTCAATCTACATGTCGGATTTGTTGGAGAACTCGTTTTCTCTCCCCAGCCTCGGGCGCTGTCCATTTCACCGGCAATAAACCACCTCTTGCAACATAATGTTGATCTTGGCTCAAAACGACTAGACCGAATCCCGCCTAACTAAAGTTTATTATTAGTTGATT